CCCTACTGTTGTGGGGTAGAGAGGCTATTCCAATAGACCCTCGGCTCGACAGAAAAGAAAAGAATTTGAACCATGATAGCAGGAATATATGACAGCAAGACACAAATCAAATCAAGCATCAGATAGTAATACATATAGAAGCTGATTACATGGTAATATCTCACATAAATTCTCATTCACCGACGTGCCTGATTTGGTAATATATGATAGCACGATTTCAGATGTACAAATCAACAAAGTAAAACAGATAACACTAATTTACCATATGGATGCAAAAACCATCTCTGCAGCATGTGCAAGAACAGATTATACAAGCAAAACTGTGATAATCAGATCCTTCAAAAGAAGTGCATTTTTTTTAAGAATCTGACATGGGTGTAGCAGCATTTTTGGAGAGACCGAACAAAATAGAAGCAAAACGAGGAAGGACATTACCTCTCCTACACTGATGTGTATAACATGAGGGGTAAAAGCCAATCCTGCTGAAGTATTCATCCATTCACCTGCAGTGAGCAATTCAATCTTCAGAACTAAAACTCAATTATTGGTCCATCTTCAGAATTACTACAATTGGAAAACTTAACCATCCAAGTCGAAAAATTATCAATACTTAGTGAGAACCATTGCCACCCAACATCCCCAACAGAAAAGATAATCATAATAAAAAGTAAAATTAACCTTTACAAAGGAAGGGGATCAATGGTGGAAGTCAAATAGCATTAAGACCTTATAAGTGGCAGAAGCATCACTCAAGTGTCACCATCCCAAGAAATACAACAAAAGAAATGTGTTTTGCCAGGATGTTAAATGTTACCATAGGCGTAAAACTGAGTTTGCATTCCTTATAAGATTATATTCCCTTTTTAATTGTAAACAACATTCAGGCTGCAACAGTGGCGGATCCAGGATTTTAATATCATGGGGGTGCTCACTCTTTAATATAAATGCATAATTATTTATTAAGCTTTAGTTATAATAAATGAGATATAGGAGATTTACAAAATGGAAAAAATAAACTAAAACAAAAGGTTAAGGTTGAAATGTTACCCAAAAAAAAGGGCCAAGATTGATAAGAAAGAAAACACAAGAGAAAATGTTAAGTACTATATGAAGTAAGTAGTAGTAACAAGCAAAAAATTCAACCGAGATTCGAATCCTCGTTTCTCACATTTTGGGCGCCGAAAATTAAACTTCAGAACCAATGTGCCTATCACGCTTTATTGTTTGGGTAATCGATCGTTCCATATATTAGTTTTAAAATATTCTGTCTAGCTTTACAAGTTACGTGTTGAGATTAATGGGTGCTCGAGCACCCGGAACCTACAACACAGGTTCGCCCCTGGGCTGCAAGCCTTGATTCTCACTAGAAGAGGCACCAACAACAACAACATAGCCGGTGTAATCCCACAAAGTGAGGTCTCGGAGGATAGGTGCGCAAAGACCTTAATCCTACCTAGGTAATAATGAAGAACACAAATATAGAGTATGAAAGTATATCATCGGTTTCACAAGCAAAAGTTATATATCTTATGATGTAGTATAGACAAATAAGTATATCATAGAGTCCAAAATCCTAACTACTCAGAAATACTGAGGAGGTAGTGAGAATGTCAGCAATGAACCAAGACAATCTTTCACATAATAATACACAACAATCCAGAAAATTATCACTAGATGACATGAGACAGAACATCTCATCAGCTATGTTGCTCAGACTCTCTACAAATGCTGTCACACCAGTGTGGGATCTTCCAAAATGCACTTTTTTTAAAGGATCAGACACACACCCATCAGCATTTTTTAAGAGTCTGAGCAACATAACTCACAAGTTTACACCAACATCAACTAAGCATTAGTACCAAACAAATTGGAGTCATCTATGTGAATCCCCACTTCTTCATTCAAGTTCACTTCATATGATTAACACCACATTTAAAAAAAAAAATCATCATCCACTAAGTTCAACTGAGAAACATACCAAGTGGAGCTAATTTTTGCTTCCATCCACTTCCAGGAGGTCGGCCCTTGGCCCGCTTAGGCCCGGGAGTAATTGAACCAGTTGAAGGAGTAGAGGACAAAGGTGACAGTCCTAATGACATTTTGGACCCATCAGGACCATATTTCCTTGGCCTCCCTCTCTTCTTTTTCACTGGATCACTACCAGGTGAAACACTAGATGCCACACTCATATTAATACCATGAGAAAAATGAGGTGATGGGTTCTCAACAACTTGGTATGTAGAACTCAAAGTACCTCCTCCCCCTACATTGGACTGAACTGAAATGTTGGGGTTTGAGAGGGACTTATAACTAGGTGGGGTAGTTACCCTTGTAGGTGCCCCAGACCCACCACCAACACCAGAACCAGACCCACTAATCCCTCTGTTGAGATAATATGCAGCACCCCCAGATAGCACCATCCCTTCTCTTCCATCCATGCATTTACTCACTAAAAACTTTCAAAACTGATTCTTGATGCTTCTATACACAAAAAGATTGAAACTTTAACATAAATTAGTAAACAAACTAACAAAGGCTTAAGTGGGGTTTTCAAGAAATGAAGAAAAAAAGCTACTAATCAGAAAAAAAGGAAATGCTGGTGAAAAAAGAGACACACCCAAGTAAGAAAAGCCAGTGAAAAATGCTAAAAATTGAATCTTGAACCAAAAGATCACATATTTTATAGTTTTAAGACAAACCCAAGTTGTAGTTTTAAGTAAAAAAAGTTGATATACAGTTCTTTGGCACAACAAAGATGAAAAAAAGAAAAGGAGAAAATGAAACCCTAGATTTGAAGTGAGAAAAGGAGAAGGAGGAGAGTTTTTGGAAAAGAGAGGAGGGGGAGGGAGGGTAAGACAAAAGTGCAATGAAATAGAGAAAATTTGAGCCCTTTTGAATTAAAGTAAAGGAGTAGACACAGACAACTTTCTTTTTAGACTATAGAATAATTATAAACTAATGGGGGAGAGAGGGTTCAATAGAAGTCAAGTGATAATAGTAACACGTATTGTTTCATATTATATTGTATTATATTTTATTTTATTATACTATATTATTACATATTTGTATTATTTTAATAAATATAGTTATTTTATGTGATTACATAACGTTACATGTCAATAATTTGAATGACAAATCTATAAGAAAGAAAGTAAGGTACAAGATAGAACTACTAAGAAAAAGTGGTTTAAATGATGTAAAATGTGATTATTGAATTAATAAGTAGAGTTAAGATGAGAAGAAAATACTAAGATAACGACGCGATCACACCAAATTAATCATTACATAAAATGAAACTTTTCATTATTATATAACTATGAATTTAAACGATACAATACAATAAAATTTAAATAACAATCAAAATAAATGTTATATTTAAATTAACAATACAATACAATGAATAATTCAGATTTAATCGAGTTTCAATAGAGATATCAAACCTCTAGTAGGAAAAAAAAAAACCATCAAACAAGATGTAAGATTGTTTTTGACTTGAGGGCGCTTTGGTGGACAGTTGGCTTAAGTTGGGTGCACCTAAGTAACAACATGTCTTTGTCATATTGACACTATTAGTACTACAAAATTTTGGGCAAAATCAAAGGAGAGAGAAGGGAAACAAAGACATTTTTTTCTTTATCTCTCTTTAGGGTCTATTTTGTACTTAGATGAATTTATTGAGAGTTTGGGACCTTAGGTTAAATTGCTTTTGGAAGTTTGAATAACAAAAATTTGACTAAAAATGGGATAATAGAGTGATAGGAGAAAGAGTCAAAAGTTCTTTGAAAATAACAAATATTCAAATTAAGCAAAAAAATTATTGGCATTAGTTCTTTACACCAAACATTTAGATATATGATATAATATGAATCTATATATAAACTTTTAGGAATCTTTTAGTACTAGAGATAAAGAGATAATTAATTTTAGAATGAGTTTATCTCAAATTTAACTTGAATAAAATTACAAAATAACTTATTCAAGAAATAATTGTTATTTTATTCCATATTAAAGACGGAATAACAAATCTCGAAACAACTTGTTTCTAAATCAAATGAGCCCCGACTACGTTAAGATAGTTAATAATAGGAGAGTCAATGATACAATTTAGTCGGTTATTTTATTAAATTTATATAATATCAAATTTTAATTACTTTATTTTGCATAATCAAAATTAAACTTTTTACGTTGTCCCATTATTTTGATTTTGATTTTGATTAATTTACGATATTCTTTTGTTAAAAATATCATGTAAGAGTCACATAAAAAGTTAAGACATGATACAATGCTTACTATTGTGGGCTAGGAGGAACGAGAGATGACTGATGAGAGATAATTAATTTTAGAATGAGTTTATCTCAAATTTAACCAAAATCAAATTACAAAATAACTTATTCGAGGAATATATTGTTATTTTATTCCACACTAAGGGTGGAATAACAAATCTCGAAACAACTTGTTTCTAAATCAAATGAGCCCCGACTACTTTAACATAGTTAATAATAGGAGTGCCAATGATACAATTTAATTGATTATTTTATTAAATTTATCTAATATCAAATTTTTAATTATTTTATTTTATATAATCAAAATTAAACTTTTTACATTGTCCCATCATTTTGATTTTGGTTTGGTTTTGATTAATTTACGATATCCTTTTATTAAAATGTCATGTAAGAGTCACATAAAAAGTTAAGACATGATACAATGCCTACTTTTGTGAGCGAGGAAGAATTTAAAGTTTCGAAATCTTGATTCGTAACCACGTGCTCTAATCCTTTGTGCTATGGCTTATGAGTTATGAATAACTATAAGAATAGTTAAATCATGTTATTATATATTTTCAAAAATATACAATATACGTATTTTTGTCTATATATTTTATCTATGATAAATATTTGGAGTATATGTAGTGTATAGTATTGTTAGGCCCATTAAACCCAAATTCACAAAATTCCCATGACCCATAAGTATATAAATAAACAAAAAGCCCCAATTCAGTGAATTTAGGGTTTTTATTTTCCTAATCGCCGGCACCGACTGCCGTCAACCTTCAAATCGTCGCTCATCACCTTTTTCTAGCAGTTATCGTCGGTCGACGATTCACCGGTCCAGGTAAGCTTCTGACTGCTCTCTTTTGCTTCATATTTTTCTCCTTTTCAGGCTTTAATTTCTCTGTCTCGTTGTGTGCTTGCTGCAATAAGTTACAAGAAGTTACTTGCTCAAGGTGCATTGTAACTCTTTTACATTCATGTAGAATTCTGTAATTTAGCTTGTGCTTGGTTTTTTCTTTTGGTGCGTAAACTTCAATACTAATGAAATTGATGATATGACTTCTCGAATCTCAATATATTGCTACTAATGAATTTGAAGTTTGAGTCTTGAGATTAAGGCGTCTGTGTGTCCATGAACTATTCGGGTCCTGTCCTTCTGTCTCTATTTTTATTCTACTTTTCCTTTTCTTTTTTGATGCAGTACAAAATTAGAGTTTTTCTTTATTTTATTACAAGTAGTGTTGTAGTGGTCTTTAGTTGAAAATTCCTTCAGTTTCTTATAAGTTACCACTGTATGTTGTCGCAATTTATGGATGCAATTATCAAATATATCTCTGTGGATGAATAATTTTCTTAAAATTCTATTGAATAAAACTTGCCATTAGCTTCATCCGTATTGCTTATCTTTTTCTGTTGAAGTTTAACTTTCTTCTATCGTTTTCTCTTGCTTGCTGACAGATGAGGGTGAAAAAGCAGAAGCGGCATAGGAGAGCTGTGAGGTTTTACACAGCTTGTTTTGGGTTTAGAGAGCCGTTTAAAATCTTCTGTGATGGAACATTTGTGCATCATCTTGTTGTTAATCGCATAACACCTGCTGATACTGCATTGACAAATATTCTAGGTGCCCCAGTTAAACTATTTACCACAAGGTTTATCAACAGCTCCATTTTTTCTCTTTTATGCTATGGTCTTTTACATGATCTAACTTTGTTTGCACGAGTTTGGAGGACAAGCTAAATATGTTTCGCTTTTAAACTGTTTGGTCACTTCCTGTCCCCTTTACTTGCAGATGCGTTCTTGCGGAGTTGAAGAGCCTTGGTGCTTCCTATCAGGAAGCCCTGAATGCAGCTAATAACCTTTTTACTGCACGGTTAGTCATTATTCTCTTCTTCTTGCTGACTCTTCTCAAGAGCAGGATGTGTGTTGCTTCAGTTCTCCGGACATTCTTTTGAGTTATGCCACATAATTTGAATCTTACTCTATTGCAGATGCGACCATGAGACGCGGAAAAGTGCTGAAGATTGCATAACTGAAGTTATTGGGGAGAACAATTCTGAACACTTTTTTGTTGCTACTCAAGATGCTGATTTGCGTAGAAGTCTTCAAAAGGTATTTGGACTTACTTTCCTCGATTTATAATGTCCTATATGTATTGTAATATCAGTCATATCACTTATTAAAATATGTGAACTGGAAAAATCCCATATTCTAGGATGTCTTGTCAGAAAAATCTTCGGCAGCTACTTAGTGTAATAGTGTTGCATCCATTTCAAAATGTTAAACTTGCAATCTCTGACTTTTGTCAGTAGTCAAAAGATTTTTAACTATCTAAGTGGGAAGTGGTAAAAACAAGAGATCTTTGTGCATCTACAGGACTATATTGTGGTTCACCAGTTGACCTTAGCATGTGGGACTAAGATGATAAAACTGTAAAATATTTCTGTCTCCTTCTGGGGGCGAGGGGGTAAGATTAACAGTTCCACACTGTTTGGCAATTTAAATGGTATTTTATGTACTCGCGATGGAGTGACCAGAACCTATTTTGTATCTGTAACTCTTATAGCTTGTTTGGACAAGCTTCTAGGGAGTCAAAATTGCTTATTTTTTTCCTAAGTGCGTATTTTAGAGGGTTGAGGTGTTTTACCATACTTTAAGGGAAAAAAAAGTTAAGTGCTTTTAAGTAGCAGTAGAAGCTGAAAACAATAGCTTTTTCCGAAAGCACTTCTGAAACCACGGCCAAGCACAAATTTCTGTTCTAATATTGACAAAAGTGCTTTTCAATTTGATTAACTAAGCACAAACTGCTACTCTCCAAAATTACTTTTTCGAAAAGCACTTCTCAAAATAAGGATATTTCAAAAGCTTGGGCAAACAGGTATTACTTTAAAATGAACCTGAAAGACCTCCAATATTTAGGAGAACAATTTATTATGTATATGCCAACTGGCTTTTCTCCTGTTTTTTCTGACCTTTGTTTCCCCTTTTCCTGAACCGGGAAGATACCTGGTGTGCCCGTAATTTTTGGTCTGAGGAATGCATTATTTCTCGAACAACCATCATCATTTCAACGTGAATTTGCCAAATCTTCTGAAGAAGAACGTCTTCATATGACTGACCTGGAGTACAATATGCTTAGACAAAGGAAAAAGAGGAGATTGTCCGATGACAAACAAGGGGATTCTTCTGATGATGCATCTGAGGAAAAGATAGATGATGTTTCACAGGCTCAGATTATCAATACAAATGTTAAGAGGAATGGAAGTGATGTCAAGGATAAAGTTCGCTTCAAGAGAAAGAAAGCTAAGGTTAGGGTTCATAATATTTTCTTATTTTCCCTTACACAACTTAAAATTAACTTGTTGCTTCTTTCATTCTATTAAAATATTGTTGTTTACGAACAAATTCTCCACTTTCATGTGAAACATTACACGTTAATGTTCAATGCCTAGTAACACATTAAGTTAGTGACAGGTAAATGTAGAAAGGCATGGCTACAAAACTCATCCTTGCCAATTCCTTGGAAATGCAGCTTTTGCTGGTTTGTGACACAAACTTTTGAGAAACCATAATGATTTTAATAAAAAGAGGTTTTCTGGAACTTCTGTGTGTGTCATTTCATGAATGATTGTTAGGATACAAAAGTTACTCTGAAAGTTGCTTGATTCATAAAGAATGATTTTGTTCATCTAGATTGATAAGTGTCTTTATATTTTAGCTTGTGTGCAAATTGTGATCCTTAAGCTCTGAACCAAAGGTTTTTTCTTTCTCTACGCTAGATGGCTGGACATATATTCAAAATAAGAGGTTATAATTTTTTGTGCAAGTGTGATATTATTTCTTATAAGTCAGTATACTTCTGCATTTAATGGTTGCTGTGTGCATACCCCTCTCTTAACTTTGAGTTGAAAAAGATTGAGTGACATAGACCAAGTATTATGTTGTAAGGGAATTGTTTGGCCTGTTGTTCCTCTAAATTGATTAAGTCGGTACCATATTTACTTATATAATATATGTTTCATGGGCGTTATTGACGTAATGCATGATTAGCTAAACATGTTCCTGAATGATTCTATGGTTTATGCCTTCCTTTCTACAGGGTCCAAATCCACTCTCTATCAAGAAGAAGAAAAAGAAGTCTGTGGATACAAATTTTACGACCTCGGGAAAGGTGAGATTAAGTTTCTCAAGTAACTGAAGTTGAGCTGGGTAATATATTCTCATATAGAGATGAAGGGTATTCATTCTTTTCTGCCTGTCTCACCACTCCTTTGTTAAAGAGAGAAAAAAGAACATCTACGTGCAACGCCTCGTAAAATTTGTCAGTAGTTCTTGTATTATTCACCTGTTTAATTACTATAGCGCTTGACCTCTATAAATATCTGCGGGGAGATGGTATGCACTATGACCGTTGTGAATTATACCTCACGCATAGTAGTTCTCTTAGGTGCGACATTGATGGTTGAAGGTTATAGTAGGGGACGAGGTAGACCTAATATCATAAGAAAGGAAATTGTCTCAGTAGGACTAAAACCTGTGTATAAAAGTACTGGTGAGTTTGGCCATTGTATTTATTATTGGTCAGGTGTAAACCCAGCTGATAGTTTTTATTAATAATATAAACATTGACTAATAGATTAAAAGCATGAAAAAATATAGAACTTTCTCAAACTTGAATAGGGTTCAAAAGAAAAAGATGCAAATTTTGATTAACTATCTAGGCATAGTGATAGAATATTCTAAGTCAACAATTCTTTATTATAGAACAATATCTATACTATGACTTATGGTGAGTTTCTTAAAAGTTGGAATTTACAAACAATGGAGATTAGAAGTAGTTACAAGTGTAGATTAGTACTCTTGTACCACTAAATGAAGGAAAACCATGGAGATAAATCTGATAGGCACAAGTGAAAGTTGCTCCCCCTCCTGGTAATTAAGCCACTAAATTATCTGAATTAGTGTAATAAAATGTATTCTCTCCCCAACTTTTTCTCCTCTTGGTGAATGTGGAAGTTCCAAGTGCAGGAAAACAAGAATGGTGAGGGAACTGTGAGAAGCAGGAAGAGATCAAGGAAGAGGTCGCGCAAAAATGTTGTAGAAGGAAATGCTTAGTGTTGAAGGCTTTGTAATATCAGGTAAATGATGATCTATAAAGTTAGAAGTGAAATGCTGATGCTGCATCTTAATGAGATAATTTTCTCTAGAGCACCATATAACTGAAGACACAGTTATTTCGCAAAAACGCCAAAGTACAATGTAGAAATTGTTAATTGCTTTAGAGTTTACATGATCTACTGTTTTTCTCTTAGAACTTCCAAGAATTGACAATGGTTGATATTAAATGCATCAAGAGTTTCTTTATTCTCAACTAAATACTTGCTTGTGTTGGTCTACACTGTTATATTTATTCGGCAACTCTGCCCACCAAAGCTTAGGCATATGTGAGAAAACCACCTAGTGTTTGTTGCCATCTACTGCTTTTTATCTTATAACTTCCAAAATTTGATTATGGTTGATTTGAATGGATCATGAGTTTCTTTCTTTCTTTCTTGGAAGTGTTGCTTCTTCAACTAAATCCATTTCTTGTTTTTGTCTACGTATGATATTTACGAGTTTGTTCTCACCAGCACATGTATCGGATAACTCTGTCCAACAAAGCTTAGGCATATGAGAGTATATAACCTGGTGTCATTTCCATCTAGTGAGATTTGAACCCGAGATCTCACGCTTCTCCTTCCACTTCATTGACGTTATATGCTTGACTAATTTTAGATCATATGGAATCTCTGAGAATCATGTCTCTTTTGCAGGAGGAATTTTGATATCAAGCATAGTATAATCTTCCACAGGAAACACTATATTTATCAAAGGAAGTGTCTACTTGAAAGACAACAAATATTATGAGAACACAAGGGTCTATTGCTAATTGTGGTCAATTTTGAATTTTCTATGAATTTTGCCCTTATAAGAACACTAGACATTGGTGCCCGTGCTAGTACGGGCCCAATATCTACTATTTTTTAATTTTAATTAATGTGATATAGATAGAATTAGAAAGTTCATTAAATTTTAATATGATTTTTAGATTTTTTAAGTTAGTTACTTTTTGTTTGCGCAAATTTAATGTGAAGTGGCCCATTAAAATGTACATAATTATGGTTATTTTCGTTATTGATCGTTGATTTTTTACTCAAGATAGTTATAAGATATAAACAAATATTACCGACGTTAAAAATAATAAAGCTATAATTAAAGAATATGAATTTAAAAATAAGTCATAGCTAAAATGGATCTCATAATTTTAAAAATATTAAATATTAATTAAATTAAAGTAGAACAAAAGAAATAATTATTATTTTTTTGCCAAAACACGTAGCGTGAACTCTCTTATATAGTAAGAGAAAATGATGAAAGTTGAAAACACGTTAATGTCAGTTCTAAGTTCTAACAGTTGTGATCTGATTAATTCAGATTTGTGTCGTATAGTACCCACTAACAAGAAAATATCTCTTATTCCACTCTCAAAATTAGATGTCTGGATAAAGGTAGAAAGACTCTTATTATTCTATCATATCTTGTTATCATATTTGTTAGTTGTCACTAATAAGTTACCCATTATTGCAAATAACTTAATTCGATATTATATCACTTCCAATTCAATAAAGGGTTTTTTTCATTTTCCACGAAAGTCCGTCCCAACAATTGTTGCAGAGGATATAAATATGAATATGAAAAAAAAAGAAAAAAAAAGGTAACAGCCTGGAGAGTCATTTTTTCGTTTTTAAGTGAAACATTCATTATCATAATAAGTAGTCGATTAGGAGAACTGATATCTCACTATAGAGTATACTCTTCCTCATCTTTTCCTATCTTGTTATCATGCTTGTTAGTTGTCACAAATAAGTTATCCATTATTGCAAATAACTTAATTCGATATTATGTAAGTGCACAAAATATTTATATAACATTCTTTTTCATGTTATATAACATGAGAAATTAGGCACTAAACAATCATTTTGAAGAAAGCACAGTTGTTGACATAGATTTAATTTTTTAAAATGGCATACGAAAAAATTATGGTCACAAACTTGTTCAATAAAATAGTATAGTTGTGATTAAGACGTGAACTATTATTATTACCATTATATTCATTATTTAGAAACCATTAAGAGTTGGCCAGTAAATAATATATATCCAATAAAGGTATTCCCTAATCAATTACAAAATTGTATGGAACATAATTGATTGGTCGGCTTGATTAAGGCGGTTCTTAATAAATAAATTTTACTAATGAGTTTTGTGACACAATAGTTGATAATATATTAATCATCTTGATAAGGTTTTGGACGGCTTATTTTATTCCGGTCACAAGTTCGAGCTTTGAAAACAGTGCCAATGATCGCGTAAGGGTATGATAGTCTTTTTCTCTCTTGTATCCAAAAATTTCATTTTTGAAACTATATACTGTTATATTAATTCATCGATGCAATGTTTAATCAGATATTTTGGATTTAAATCTTGATAATGAAGTTGATGCTTCATCCTCAAAATGAAACTTATAATCAATGTAAATTCAAATTAATTAAACTCAAGATATTGTTAATCTGAATTAGACAAACTCAAAACGAATACCAAATATAGAATAGACAGAATAAAATGGATTTGGTTAAAGACTTAACAATGTTACATCATAAAAATTAAAACAGAAAAATGACTTATTTTTCTCAGCCACTCAATTAGCTTCATAATAAATCATTTCTAAAAAATTGTGGCTGTGATTCTGCCATAATTTTTTTAAAAAAATTAATTAGGTTTTAAAGTTTGACATTAGAGCTTTTATGAGGTTACTTAGCTAAGGTTAATGATAAAATCAAATCAACTAAACTTTTTATGGTGTTGTTTCTTTATGTAGACCCAAAAAATATAAAAAATAAATTACTTCTTTTTTCGATACGAATAGTGAAGAAGTATACTATTATTGATTAATAGAAAACGAAATTTGAAAAAAAGGGCCATATTCCAAGAAAGTGTAATGCATTAAGTTCAAATTAGAATTATTTACTTCAAACTTCAATTTTTTATATATTTAATTTAAATAAGTAATATTTACTTCAATTTCATAATTGTTGAGATCAAGAGATGATTTTTTATGCACTCATTATCTAATGGAATTTTTTTATTTTTTTTGTTTTGTTGCTTAGCTGCCCACATTATCAGAATTATTTGAAGATTAGGTGATTAATTAGTAGGTCCAGAGCATCTAATCAAATGCATATATGCTTAATAAATAAATAATGTGATATTCTAAATTAGAACAATAAGAAAAAGAAGTAAAACCATACAAGAATCTGCCAACTTTTTCCCTTCTGTTAATGTTGATAGTATATCAATAACTAATAATTTGATTTACAAATCAATTAAATATAATCACCATTTTGTGTCATTTTTAACCATTTACTATATTTTATTCTTGAAAGAGGTTAAAATCACATAAACAATTAAGTATTTTTGATCTACTTTAAAATTTTTCATATTTTACCCAAGGAAATGAAATCACACATAAGAGAAAGGATGAGTTTTTTTAAATTTTAGTATGATTTGGACAATCCTTCATTCGTGAGCTAACTTTTGTGAGTGAGTTAAGCTCAAGATTCATTTAACATGATATCAGAGCTAGACTCCTGATATTGCCTCCCCCCCTTCCCTTCTTCCCCATTCACCCTTATAATAGATTGTTCACACATCCAATATTCGAATAGAGCGGGGACATGGGGAAATGATTAATGGAATTTCAAATCGGAGATGAATGAGTTTGTAGGACTCTTTATATGGAAGCACCTTTTGAGCTATATTTTGAAGTTGAATTAGGTCCAACATCCATTTGTTAACATAATATTAGAACTAGACTCTCGATATTAGACCCTTGGAGATAGATAAGTTTTCTTGAACTTTTAATATGACTCGGATAATCCTTCCTGAATTAATATTTTAGAGTAGATTAGGTTCAAAAGTCATTCCACATATTTCAATAGATACTAAATTATGAATATAGTATTAAAAGTGCAATAGTAGATTCAATAATTAACACTTTAATATACCCTTAAGTTTGTCACCCTTTTTTGTTAATTTTTGGTTGATATAATATATAAACGTGTCATTTAACTGATATTTATGTCCTTCAATTTTAAATGTACACAACCAAACACCTTAATTATCATAAATTTGAATAAGTAGATATACACGTCCTACTTGACAAATCGCATGAGATGCACCCATTCTACATGCCAAATCACGTGAAATTTGCTAAAATGTGTGTGTATTCAAATTTATGATAGTTGAAATGTCTATTTGTTATTGAACAACATAAGATGTTAGCTAAAATCAAGTTAACGTCATAAATGTTAGCTGAGGCGGAGTTAAAAAAGGGTGTTTATGTATATTATTATATTGACTTCTCCACTATATAAGGACACAAACACATACCTTTTCTCAGTACCAAAAAAAAGTAGAAAAAAAAAACAAGAAATCTTAGTGAGTGTGAGTGTAGAAATGGCAGAAAACAAAGAAGAAGATGTTAATCTTGGAGCCAACAAGTTCAGAGAGCCACAACCCTTAGGCACATCAGCACAAACAGATAAAGATTACAATGAACCACCAGCAGCCCCTTTATTTGAACCTGGTGAACTATCATCATGGGGTTTTTACAGAGCTGGAATTGCAGAGTTCATGGCAACTTTCTTGTTTTTATACATCACAATCTTGACTGTAATGGGTCTTAAAAGATCTGATAGTTTGTGTTCTTCTGTGGGTATTCAAGGTGTTGCTTGGGCTTTTGGTGGTATGATTTTTGCCCTTGTCTACTGTACTGCTGGTATCTCAGGTCAGTTCATTTTTCTCTAAAAAATTCAAATTTTTTTGTTTCTTGTACTAAAAATGTTATCTTTTTTTGTGTGTGTATCATGGGGTTATGTAGAAACTAGTTTTATGAGTTCTTGATTATATACCCATATAAAGTTTTTAGCTTTCTTTGTTCTGGTCTATTGTACTGCTAGTATCTCAGGTTAGTTAATTGCTCCTAAAAAAATGATTTTTTTTGTGCTAAAAATGTTAAAACTTTCTTTTTGTTGTTGTGTGACAAGAGTTTCTCTGCTGATTTTCTGACCTTGTTCTTTTTCTTGCTCTAAAATTGTTAACTTTTTTGTGTATTTCTTGTAATTAAAAATGCTAACTTTTTTGTTTTGTTTGGTATGTATTCAAAAGGGGTAGTCTATTACAGATAAGAGTTTTACTTCAAAAC